ATTAATCTGTGATAAATGATTTCCTCTAAATTCTGCCAATGAATAGTTTAATTAAGTATGATTGGCAGAGCGTAAAACAACTCCAAGGCATCGATTGACAAATTAGGAAACAAAAGTAAATACATTTCAGTGTGAATAAAATATTTATTAATATAATTAGTATAATTTTCATATTTGTATATTGCAGTACAGTGAAAATAGAAAATATATATATATATATATATGAACTCACTTAAGAGAAACTTATACATGAGCAGCTATATTTCACGTAGTGAACGAGTATATTGGGCTTAAGCAAGATGACTTCAGGAAATACCAGTTAATGTGGTTGTGACTTGACATTTGGAGACAACCCACCATAAAAATAGAAATAAATATATATATAATGAGTATATCTCCGATCATTGAGGCGTTGCAAATCTGAAAAAACTTCTACATTTTGAAAGCAGCTAGATTATGCTACTTACTGCAGACTTCTTCATGAATCCTTTAGCAAAACATATTCAAATGTTGCTATTCTTGCTTGTTTTGGTTCAGGTTTTTCTTTAAATGGTTTTATTTTTGTACCGTGAATTTTACTCTTCGTGTGTGGATGTGCCCAAAGCCTTTCAATGTTATTGAAGATGCAGAAATGTTGAGCAATTAAATTAAGACTTTTGCTCAAGCTCACAGGGGGCATGGCAAATGAGAACGTATTTAGACTGAAAATTAATACAAAATTGATTTGATGAGATGGGCAAAGCTTGAAACTTATTAATATTATTTTTGTTTAGACAATAAATATATTGTTATATATTATTATAGTTTTCATTAAAATGTTCAAAACAGCCTTGAACTTGTATCCATATGATGTATATCAATGTTTTGAGGCGTACAATATTTATTCATATACTAAATTAATATTAATGGCTCGAGTTAATAAACTAAGCTACGTTGGAGTTTAGACTGATATATATTATATATTCTTAAGAATTTTGTTTTTTTAATTAAAGACATTTTATTATATACTCTTAATAGATGTGCGTTGAGGAACGTGTCTAAAGTAAATTCTAATTTCTGCTCCACTTGCTGAATATGGCAATGAGCTGATATACTCACGCGCACTTAGCCACATGCACACCCCCATAAAGAGACGATTACTTCCGCCATTTTCTATGATGAATTGCTACTTTTGCTTAACGCACATACACATAGAGAGATATACACACAGAGACATACTTGCACAGAGCCATTAGGCAACAGAGAGGAGATGCGCAGACATCCATTCAGAGACTGGGGACAAGGCAGTTAGCGACACAGACCCACATATACACACAAAGGCAGGAGCCCTGTGTATCTGTATCTGTGGATACACATTTATCCAGTCGTCGACGGCGTTGACAGCGCCAACGCCAGCGGAAAAAGGTGCAGGACGAGCAAAGGCAATGTAAAGCAGGTGAACTCGAGGCAAGCTGCGCAGCCTTGTTGCTGTTGTTGCTGCTGTAACTGGCAGCAATTGGTGGCAAAACACTGAAAGGACACAGGAAGTGCACTTTGCCAGCACACACACACACACACACAAGGGCACACACATACACACAACACACACTTTTATATACAGAAACAGGACACCCTTGCCGTCATTGGGGTGCTTTTGCCGTTTATTTATGCCTGGCAATCATAAAGCGCGCCCCAAAACGCACACACACATGCACCCACACTCACACACACACACACTCACTCATGTACACAGTGTCTGGCCGTAAGGGAGAGTGCAGGTTATGGCTTTCTATAACTCAGGTTCTGTTGTCGTGCCGCCTCTTTCTGGCCAACAGCAGCGTCGTCTGCTGCTGATGTATTCCATACAAATTGCAAGTTTTAGTGCTTTTATTTTTCGGCACTCTCCGGCAAAAGAATCATCCATCAATGGCATTACGGGCAAGGACAGCAGCCAGCTAGCAGACGCGAATGCTTTTTGAGTGCTGCTGACGTTTTTGTGTCGCTGTCGCAATCGCAATCGCAGACGCAGACGCACCCATTGCTCAACAGGACACAAGAGGATAACAACCCTCATTTTGGCCGAAAGCATGCGGCGAAATTTGTAAATTTTTCGCTGCAAAACAAAAAGAAAAATTCTTTGCTGACATAAAAGGGGGCAGACTTTCGTGTCTTCTATCTCTCTCACGTGAGTCTCGCTCTCGCTCTGTCCCTCGCTCGCTATCTACAGCAGGCTGATGCTCTCGCTCAGTGCTGCTGGCTGCGTTTGTAGAATAATAGCATAAAATATTGTTGTCCTTGAACAATTTACTTTTATTTTATTTTTATTGCCTACATTGTGGAGCTCTGCCTCTGCCTCAGCCTCTGACTCCGACTCTTCCTGCATATGTGTGCCGCGTCTGCGTGTGTGGGCGCTTGTGTGTGTGTTTGTTATGGTGTCTGCATTATTGTTGTCGAGCCGCGTTTTTGGCTTCATTAAATTTATGTTGCAACGAACCGTTGCCCCCCGCCGACGCCACCTTGTATTCCCGCCTGCTCCTGGCCAATATGCTGAGCCTAGTTGCACGTGCCGCGCTGCCGTAAAACAGATCGTAAAAGTTTATTACTTGCGGCTTTCTGTTTGTATGTGTGTCGCGCATACTGTTGTTATTCTGTTGTTGTTGTCGCTGTAGCTCCTGCCGCCATTGTCGCTGTCAGCTGTCAAATTGAATTTGTTTATATTGCCAACACCAGCAGAAGCGGCAGTAGCAGCAGCAATACCGTCGAGCCGGTCGAGGCCACAGCCGCCATTCAGCTCCAACAGGTTTCATTTTCACTTGCCGGAAATCATTGCGTCATGCTGATATTTTGTATTTTAACACCCAAATGACACCGCTCCCTTGCCCGCTCGGGCTGTCATGCTCAGCTCTGTGTTTAGGCTGCAAAGTCGATTTTTGTTGGTTTAGGTCAGTTAGTTTTTGGCTTTGACAGCTCAAAGTCGAGGTCAACTTTTGTATGCCCATCATCAGTTGGCGTGCTGTCTGCCCCTCTCCCTCTCTCTGAGTGTGTGTGTGTTTGTTTCTGTCTGCGTGTCTCATATTTATGCGCCCGCCGGTCGAGACGCGTCCCAATGGCCAATGCGACGCGCCCTCGTCACTGGACGTTGATATAAAAAATCGATTTTATTATAGCCGTTTGTCTGCCATCCTATATAGATTTTCTGTCAGCTGCGATATTGCCTTTTGTCTGACTGACTGAAGCTCTGCCACTGACAGGCTTAAATTTTGTCCGCGTCTCTTGTTTAGGTAAGCCACTTTAAAGCCCGAAAGTGAAAACGTTGCGTATGCGTAATGTGTGAGCAAGTGACAATAAAGTGGCCAACTGTTATGAGAAGTAATTATTCTGGAGAATTAAATAAATGAAAGTCTATATAAATACACATAATTATAGCAAATATATATATACATATTTGTCAAATCTATAGTATTTTAGTCTTTTTGTGAAATAAATATAAATTATATATATAATGAATGAAATTAAATTTTAAATAATTAAATATAATATTTGATTAAAATTCTCAACAAATAATCTAAAATTTCTTTATTCAGAGAAGAATAAATATGGAATATGTTGACTTATTATTAGGTGAGGAAAACTCAAATTATTTTCAAGCAATTATTATTATTTATTTTAAAGGAATTTTCATTATTTTTTTAACTTACAATATTTCTAATAAAAATACTTTTTAATTATACAAAATCCTCAGTAGACGAACTGTCTAATTAGTCTGTTATTGAGCTGGTATCCCAGGCTAGCACGAATGTTGTTCTTGTCTTGAGTGAAGTTCTTCGTTCCCATTTGTAATTCAGTTAATTATTAACGGCTTTAAGCTTTGTTATATTCTCAAATAAAATAATAATAGAGTAGTCTAATAATATTCTATAATGATCAATTAATAAAGTAAGAGTTAGGACCTTCGAAATGTAATCTGGGTCTGGTAGAATTAGGTTCGGAATTTTTTATTACCATCTTTACATTGTTAACACATGAACATGGAATTGGCGGCCGTCTCTTGATGGCTTCAAGTGGCTGGCGACATGGCATTAATAAATTTACGACTATCCCTAGCGTCAACACCATCGAGTATAGGGATACAAAAAAAATTTGTGTTTTATACTCTAATTACGAGATAAATTATATTTCAGTAAAGAGATATTTATTTAAAAAAATTTGGTCTTAGATAACAATTTTAAATTTAAAGGCGGGCAACGGTATATTCAGCATAAAGTAGAAATAGCTTGTTTTAGCACGTCCATTTGGTCCTTCGATTTGGATTTTAGAATCTCCTACTATTGGTAAGGTACTGACATCATCACCAGTCCTAAGACTAGCGTAGTATAGATAGTTTTTTTCATTAAATTTTCTTCAACTTTATTCATTCAATACTCAAATATATTGAACAGAAAACTGGTTTTGTTCAATTTCTATAACTGAAGATTTAAGTTTTGTTGTTTGAGCTCTAAAAAATTTCTTATTAAATAATTATTTTATATAGCTAAATTACATTGAGCTTTAAAGTAATTTTCAAATTGGTAAGCCTTTTTAGTAACATTAAAAGAATGTTCCTTTATTTTATTCCCCATAGGTTGCCCTGATTATAATGAATGTTATTGTTAATCAGCAGTATATATAAAGTGATAAGTGAGTGTAAAGCTTAAACTCACAAATCAATCAACGAAAAAGTCAAATAAGTAAAATGAGTTTTATTTAATCAAACGTTAGATAAAAGTGAAAAGCTTAGCCATAACATTTTTACAAATTTCTTGATCAAAGCTCATAAAGCTTAAATGCAGCCAAAGAGACGTGAAAATAACACGAACCGAAACAAAACAAAGCTAAACATACCAAGTAATACATAAAAGCTAATCAACTCGCGTCACGCTGAGAGAACGTAAAGCTCGCTCAGCACGCCATCAAAATATGAGACCGAGGGAATTAATTAATAAAACATCTAGTCAAATTTTTGAGCGGCGCACACTGAGAACTTCAGTACGCAAAATGTTGTCGACGCAGTTGGGTGGGCCACGAAAGCTGAGCATTCGACTATTAAAAGTCGAGAGGGCCTTAGCCACAAAGGTATACATTTTCATAGTGAATTGACAGCTTCATTTTCCTGATGTCATTTGCAGGGCACTGGAGCTGCTAAAGATGCCACGCCTCTGGAGCAATCCAAGCCCTACTCGGAGCTGCCGGGTCCCAGTAAATTAAACTTTGTGCGATCTTTCTTACCAGGCGGTAAGTGATCGAAAGCTCTTCAAGCACTCTTCTCTTTGGTTCGCTCTTTTATGCGCGCTCTCAAAACTATTCTCAAATGGCATTTGCTTGTTATCAACAACCAACTGCAGGTCGCTATAAGAATGTTGCAGTCCATGAAATGTTTCTGGATATGAATAAGCGCTATGGAGACATATTTCGGATGCCTGGCGTGGCTGGCAGGGATGTTGTGATTACCTTGAATCCGGTAGACTATGCGACGATCTTTCGCAACGAGGGACAGTATCCCTACAGGCGTAGCTTCGAGACCCTCGAGTATTATAAAAAAGTCCACAGACGCGATATATACGAGGGCGCAGATGGCTTGACTTCTGGGTGAGTTAGACGAAATTAATCTGTGGCTCTATTTGAAATATCTTTGTGCTTAGCAATGGCCCAGCTTGGAGCAAGATGCGCACTGCCGTTAACCCGATTCTGCTGCAGCCACGGAATGCCAAGCTATATATAAACAATGTACTCCTGGTAAATGATGAGTTCCTGCAACGGTAAGATGAGACCACGAATGTAAATCTCCTTGAGTGACAACGGCCGTTTTCGCTTTGCAGCATTCGAGCCATTAGAGATCCGACAACTCAAGAGGTGCCCGCGGACTTTGGCGAAGATATTCGTCGTTTAATCTTGGAGTCCATTGGCTCTGTGGCGCTCAACACGCGCCTCGGCCTGCTGGGTGAGAACCGGGAGAGCGAGGAAGCAAAGCAATTGATTCAAGCATTGGAAAATATACTTGAGCTGAGCTTCCAATTGGACATTATGCCACCAATTTGGAAGTATCTGCCAGTGCCCATGTTCAAGAAGCTGCTGCGGGCATTGGACACGATCACAGACATTTGCTATAACCACATTCAGCAGGCACTGCAACGCATCGAAGAGGATGCGCGGGCTGGACGTCTTGCCACTGAGCCAGGTCAAGAGACAAGCATATTGGAGAAACTAGCGCAATTTGATCGCAAGGCGGCAGTAATTATTGCGATGGACTTGTTCTTTGCCGGTGTGGATCCAGTAAGTACTCCCTATAACCTTCCATTTAGAACAGCAGCTAAAGATTTCATCTCAACATTCAGACACTTGTCAGCTTAACTGGAACTCTGCTGAGCCTTGCCAAGAGTCCCGCAAAGCAGGCCCGCTTACTGGAAGAGATTAAGGGAGTGCTGCCTGAGAAGAACTCCTTGTTGACCATAGAGAATATGGCGCATTTGCCCTATCTGCGCGCCTGTATCAAGGAGGGCATTCGCATGTATCCCATCGGACCTGGCACTTTACGCCGCATGCCGCACGACGTGGTCCTAAGTGGCTATCGGATCGTGGCTGGCACAGATGTGGGCATCGCTGCCAACTATCAAATGGCCAACATTGAAAAGTTTGTGCCGCGGGTGCGCGAATTTTTGCCGGAGCGCTGGCTGCGCGATGAGTCCAACTCGAATCTGGTAGGTGACACGGCCACGCCCTTCATGTATCTGCCCTTCGGCTTCGGACCGCGCGCCTGCGCCGGCAAGCGCATTGTGGACATGATGCTGGAGATAGCCGTAGCCAGGTTGGTGCGCAACTTTGAAGTGGGTTTCGACTACCCAATCGAGAACGCCTTCAAGGCCCAGTTCTTTGTGAAGCCCAACATACCGTTCAAGTTTAAGTTTGTAGAGCGCTCTGTGTAATTTCTATATATATAAACTGTTTATCAATGATACCTTCAACATGTCGCAAGGAAACACACTGAGCAGCTCCTTCAAAGCCAGTAAACGACTTTCAAGAGTTCCGGGCGGTCGCATGTGTTCTCGTCCAAGTGTCCCCTTCAGCTAAGCATTACAGCGAGAACAGCAGCTACTTGACTCAATTGATATTGGGCGCTGCCCCACAACACATCGCCAGCTCCTGTGGATCTGTCAAGTGCACTTGTCTGTGCCCGCAAAGGAACAAGCACTTGACTGCCTTTCGAATGTTAACGTGTCTGTGACGTGGCGTATCATGGGCTCTGCACTCTGTGTAGCAGCTGTTAGAGCCTGATGAAGAATGGTTAACGATTTGAGTTCAAGTACGAAACTATGTGTCAATGCACTTCAGTTATGCTAAAGAGGGGATTATACTAAGCTCTGATCTGATCGGATTGGAAGGGAAGACAACTTAACATATTTACAGAGAATATTTTATTATATATAATCCTATATAGGTTCTATATCTAGTGGCTTCTGCTGTATAAGATATGAGTTATTCCAGTTTAATAAACCTCAGATAACCAACTCTCCCTGGTATATACGCGGCTCAATACTCCACAGAGACCTTAAGCTGTTTACTGTCGAAGAGCAGATTGGAAGACACACAAGCAGATACACGGACAGACTGCAACGACACCGAAGCCTACTTGCAAGAGGACTAATCCCTGCCAGACCCCTAAGACGACTTAAACGGCAAGGCTTTGCCAGAACGATGGGAATGGTGTAAACTGTCTCCTTTGAATTCCTCATATTGTGACTGGTTTGGCTCTAATTCCATATATATACATATGTTGTTAAGGTACTAAATTTGATTGTACAGGTTCTACACTTTTATAAATAAAAAATAAAAATAAAAAAATAAACCTCAACTAATTCTGATTTCCAGACTCTAGTAATGTATGGCATACTTTAGGGCTGCAACATTAAATTGGTTTGTGACTTTGACATGAAATTTAAAGCTGATCAAAGTGTTGGAGGAGATACTAAATAGGCTGGGTTAGATCAGTTCAAGGTTTGCGATTGACCAAATGATCCCCAAGAGTTTAAATAATCCTTAAGAGTAAAAAATGCGATACGATCTGTCTGCCTGCTGCAATTGATCATTGATATAGAGAGCAGAGATGGAATAATATTCAAAAAACTAATAATTGATATATTCTGCACACATTGAAAACACGAGTTTTGTGTAAATGTAAGTGCCAAGTGGAAGGATACGTAGATTCTTGACCATGTCAACGTGTTAAGCCCTCATGTGTCTGCTTTACGCATGAAGCGCTTTTTGGAAACCTTCTGGCAAGAAGTTCCTAAAGGCCACTCCAATCTATCTTTTTTCTATTTTGGGTAAAAGCACTGCAATATCATTCTAAGTCTCTAATATATATAGAAAACTGTGACTTGGGCTGTGTCACTTAACCGCAAGATTCTAAAAACAATTCACAATAAATTGCTTAGGCAGCTGCCTGTAATGAATATGCAAATAATTATTATTTCTATAAATCTGGATGTCTCTATTCAATGACTTCAGGCACTCCCAAGTTGCCTTTGCCTCGACTCACACAAATTAAGTTATGTTTAAAGAGAATTCAAATTTCATTTGATTTGTCATTTGGCAAAGCAGACACAATTTAATACATTTCTTTAAAGTCAATTTCATTTCTCAGTGGACTCTTGTAGAGAGTTCATAAAGTTTTTATGCCGTTTTTTGCTTCGTTATCGGAACAACAAATAAATGCGCTGGCATAAATAATGCAAAAGTATTCATTTTGACATCGAATAGACATAGTAGCAGTCGCAACTAGGTTTTCTGCTGGGTCTGAGACTGGCCACCTTCTGTGTTACCCGGAGACGTTGTTGCTGGTGTTTTTGTTGTTATTGTTGACGATGGCTGTACGAGTGCTTGGGCGGAACTTGGACAGTCCGGGTCTTATCTTTGCGCACTCCGCCGTTGCCATCGCATCGCATCGCATCGGAGCTCTCGTATGTCCTGCATTTTATGCCACTTTACGTTGGAGTCGTCGTCTTGTGCATTATTAAAACTATGTGCTCTGATGGCGCCATACTTGGTGAACCTCCTCCGAGGAGCACCTCCATCGAGCGTTGCGAAGCGGCAGCACTTGAAATGTCAATGCTGGCCGTTGCAGTGCATAAACTTTTATCGTGTCCTGGCCAAGTGTGTGCGCAACTCGAGCTCGGAGTGGGGACTCTGAACTGAACTGTGCACAGGACGATGGCAGACAAACAAAATGAATGGAATTCATTATTCGATGGTCGGTCAGAAGTGGAGGCAGAGACAGAAACAGAGGCACAGTCACAGGCAGAGACTCTTTAAGCTGTTGCTAAATTGAAAATGCATGTCAAATATCACACACAAATCACAGTCCGGCTCCAAAATAGCAGCGCAGCTTGCATGTTGCATGTCTCGTTGCCTGCTTTTAGGTGGCTCGGCATGCATTTGCACTTTATGACATGCAGCCTCTCATAAACTGAGCAATTAGACATGTCCGACACACACGCACACATGAAAGTGTAGTAACATCTTGACAATTGGAATTTGGCTTTTGCATTGAACTTTGACCGGGCCATCAAAGCCCGTTGCTGCTGCTCGAGCCTGTGACATGACACGGCCGTCCATTGCCGAGCTGCCAATTTGCAGTGGGCAACAGGACGGGCGTGGCAAACGGACCACGTCTAATGATGGCATACATAACCTGCCTGCAGCCTGCCGTCACCGCCGCCGTCGCCGCCTGCCGCCTGCCGCCTTCTGCTTGTCGCCCACGCCCACGTCCTCGTAGAGGCACTGCTGTTGCCGAGTCCCTGGCTCCCTTGCAAGTGTCATGTCACAACGCACTCGGCTTGCTTGTCAATTTCGCAGCTGGGCGTGGCTGTGCATGGGCACGAGCATGACTTGAGCCCCAGTGCCAGGCATTAGCATGTAAAAGGCAAACTTTAAAGGAAAAAATAAAGCAACACTGCAGCGCAGGACAATCAGTAGACAGACGACGAGTACGATGACGATGACTACCTCCTTCCAGTCACACACCCAGGCCTGTGACCCGCCCTGACAGGCGTCCATGATTAATGGTTGTCAATGGCATGTTGTTATTGTTGCTGTTGCTACTGCTGCTGCTGCTGCTGCTGCTCCTGCTGCTGTATCCCGGCCTGGGCTGCATATAAAAAGTAATTTTGTTATTTTAAGAAAGCACCCAAGGACTAAGGCTCGATGCCGGCTTTCTGTTTTGCAGGAAATTGATTCGCCGTCGCATGCGGCGCACTTTTTTCCAGCCCGTTGCCGCAGGAATTCCCCAACTGGCAAACAGTCGCGCAATTTCGCAACCTTTTGCGCCCCGCCAAGCGACTTCAGCTGGTTGCTGAAAACTCATCCCCACCTACCTACCTCGCTCCCTCCCTCGCTCGCTCCAGCTTCCGCCCACGCATCGACTGCGATAATGGCATTGGCAATGGGGCTGCAGACGGAGAACGCAACAAATTTAATTTATTATTTCGAAGAGCAAAAGCATTTCTAATCGAATTGTATTCTAAATACGCCACGCATACGAAATTGAAAAATTGAAAAATTATCCCCGATTCTATTAAGTCGCCCATTGTTGTTGTTGCTGTTGTTGTTGTGCATATCGCTCGACTGAATGTTGGCTAAAAAAATTTGAATTGTTTGCTTTGGTCTATTGCATTACGGCTTGCCAGGGAAATTGCGGTTATCAGATTGTTGACATTAATGATGTGTCTGTGTGGGCCAGTGTCTGTGACTCACTGAAAAGGAGATAGCAAGAGAGACAGAGTATTGATGTAGTTGTAAGTTAAGTGTATTGGTGCAGCTGCTTCACTACTGTAATTGATTGAATATATACAACATTTTTTATATACTTGAGTTTTTGGCAGTAAACATTTTTTAGAAATAAAACAATTTCTTTAACTTGCATTAAGTGATTATATAAAATGTTACAAGCACATTAAACAGATTTGACCAGGTAAACTATGCAGAGAGAAATTATGATTTTGTGGCATTCAGTCAGGTTGGTTATACCCGTTCATGAATAGAATAAATTGAAGATATGTCTCGTTGTCTGTCTGTGTCTCTTTATGAACGCGAATAATGTGGAACATGCACTCGTTAATACCCTCTACTTGTAAAGTCTTAACATGTTGAACTCATTGAATTGGGAATTGACGTTTTACGGATTTTCGTATAATGCATGCAGCAAACGGAAGGAGGCCTGACATAGGATGATAAGGATTAACAGTCGAGTCGAACTAGCTCTGCTCCGTTTGTCCGCCTGTACTCATCCATTAACTTATTGATCTCCCCTGTAGGAGCTAGAGAGTCTCATAATTTTACTTAGATCTCATTATAGCCTGGGAGAATCAAGCTTGTAGCTACTGATAGCGTTTTTTATTTAAATCGGTTAAAAAAGTTATCGAATCTTGCCATTTTAGAGCTGAAGTCTCCATTTTGTATGTTTTATACAATTTTTATTGCTCTTAAAATTTGGTATCCATAATTTAGCCACATTCGTTAAACTGATAAAAATATAATATGTATATGGAGATACTCCAAAAATGTAACAGTTAAGTTGAAGCACTCTCCGCTTAAGATTGATTAAATATAATGTATCCACTTTTGTTAGAGGCTGTGAACATTGAGATAAAATATATACATTAAAGAGCTCCTAAGCTCTTACCCTTCTGGAATGTGAGTGAACATTCTGGAGTCGCTTTCATCCGACTGTAACAATTTTATTTCTTACATAATCTATTTGACTTGATAATAAATAATTATCAATACTGGACACTGATATCAGCAATCTCTTTCAAATAAATGAGTTGTGTTAATGAATTAAAAGTAATAATCAAAAAAAAAGCGAACATCTAGTCAATGACAGAACTCTGAATAAATACGAATAAAGTATAAAATGTTACTTTAATTTTGAATGAAATATTCTCGTTCTTTTTCACGATACTCTTAACAAATCTATGAAGTACAAGTTTCAAATCTAAATGTATGCAAGACTACATCCAAGTGAAGACTTATCGTCCATGACTCGTGAAGCATCATTGGCTGGATTAGTCATATGTGTCATGAGTACATATATTACATAGTTGCAGAGTTATCATCAGTCATGCTAGAAGATATCACTGGGACAATGTGTGAGTAAAGCTGCGTAAAGCATAGATTTTGCTGATTAAAGTATTTAATCTGGAAAACCTTTCACTTTGCGCCATGCGAGCTGACACCCGCATAATATTCTTTTGAGCTGGAGCAACAAAAGCAAAACGAACACATATATTTTTATTAATTTTCCAAATGAATTCCTGGCAACGGCAGAGGGACAGACGCGATGCCAGACACCAGACACCAAACAACGTCGCAAAAAAGGATACAAA